TGTTAAATAACGACTCCTCATTTATACGCAAGACGAGAATTTTTTTTCTGCTAACAATCACTATGCCCATTTACCTTCGGGGAAAGCACTCCTCACCACGGGCAACAATCACGAAAACACCCCCGCCCCCAGCTGCCAAAATACATGTAAACTCCCAACAACGGCTAGACTTAAAAATTGCCTAAAGACGGGTAAAGAAAAAATCTCATTTCCTTTAGTGTTCAGTAATGACAAGTCATGCGATTTTGAACTGTACTTTGATTAGAGTACGTGTAAAGACTACAACCACGAATGATTGCGAATAACTGCCTTTCTTTGCATTTGGTGACACTAAACAAAGGCGTAACATACACTCTTTATTTTATATAAGAATACTGTTTTTCCGGCCCGGGCTGAATATTCTTATTTCTCTGCCGATTTTAGGCTGAAAATATTCTTATGAACATTCTTTGATTATAGCGTATGACATTTTCAGTTTTCGATGGCGCTGAAGTAATATTTGGAGCCAGACTGCAGGCAATAAAGCCTGATCTAACACATAGAATCTCTTGCAAAAATGGTATTAGCGTCAAGCATACGGCTAGTGCTTTTTTGTTGGTTTTTGGCTGTTTTTCCATTTAAAGATAGGAAGAATTTTTAAAAGGTTTAGTTAAAAACAGATAATTGTATTGTATCTACAAATTTCAACGCAAAAAATTACACTCTTTTTAAAATCTCAGCCTCGGGTGTATTCGTAAAATTTCGCAAACTTCAGCCTTGATATTCTTATAAAATATATTCTTATAGAAAAAGAAGACTGTATACCCACAATTTTCAGTCGAGTTTTGCTTTGTTCCATTCGCACATCTCTAGATCGTTATCCTGTATACCATTTATGCAGTTTCCTGTCAGTTCTGCAAGTCTGAACACCCAGTGCTGCTCTTTTGCTTTAAAATTTGTTCTAGTGGGAAATCACAACTATTTATTTTTCGGTTTCTGTTTTACTGAAATCCTTTGACTGTGTTATTTATTCATGGAAGCGTTATTTCCTCAATTTCTTATTCCCTATAAAACAAGAGATGATCTCTCCAGGCTGGCTTAAAGTGTGGTTTTAGAGGCTAGAGCAGCAATTAAGTTTCCATAAGGATTGAAAGTTAAAAAAATCTTCTTGATTCTTAACTGTTTGGTCTGTGTGTTGTTGTTGTTGTTTTTGTACCTTAACAGTTATTTTTTGATAGCTTATGTTTACAAGCTTTTATCACTATAGCAAATTGTTATTATCTTCTATGCATGTATACATCAAAAATTGAACAGATTAACGAGCTGGAGTGCTGCAGTTATGGCAATGTAGATTCTGTTCAGTACTAGATTGTTTGATAACGAACTGCACAATCTATGTCGACGTTAAGTTGAACTGAAAAGTAAAGCTCCCAATAAAACAGTATTTATTCATCTTTTAGCGCATAGCTCGGTAACCAAAAAAAAAGAAAGTCTTATCACAGAAAAGAAAACAACGAAAAGAATAAACATGGCGGTTTCTTTGCTTTAATTTGTGAAAAGGAAACAGTTCTAAGAGGTAAGCTAATGAAACTAAGGCAACTTAAATTGAAAACCTGTCAAACTAACGCGTCAGCCAATCACAGTGGAGTTATTTAGAATTCCATTTGGAAAGCATTGAATTAGAAGGTCGAATTTTAATTACGATATTTATGTTTTTGAAACAGAGCAATATTACTCGACATCGAAATAATTTTGGCGATGAAGTGCAGTTTTCGAGGCGACTGTGAGCGCGGTATTTGCTTTAAACGTTCGTTGGCTTAATGACAACTGTTTCTGAAGTGAAACACTTTTCATCGACTTTTAGCAACAAGACTACTGAGTTGTCAACAGAGGAATCGCTTTCCTCAAGCAACCATTCTGGAATTGCAATGCAAGCTGTGTTTGGAGGAATCGCACTTCTCTCGTTTCTTGGTAACTTTTTATTCTGTGTGGTTCTTCTAAGAAAGAGATATCTGCTGAAAAAACCTTATAACATTCTACTCCTTGTGTTGGCTGTTACCGACATGCTAACAGGTACGAATGCACGAATTTCTTATATTTCAGTAACATAATGACCGCTTGGAAACGCAAAATTGTGGGAATCTTTTAAATTTTAGATTAATTTGAATTCTAATTAATCACGACAAAAATTGGCATTCGCGATAGCTACTTTCTATGTATATTTGTTGGGAATTTCGCGTTTAAATTTGTATCTATGTTACAATTATTACTTTGATGTCTGTTTGTTCAAAGAGCAATCAACTGTCCCTTTTACTGACATCCAATTAAAACTGTATTGTAACATCAAAAGCGTTTCAACTGTTTGCAAGCAATGCCGCCTTTGAGGGATATTAGTGGCTTGCGATAATTTCCTGTAAGTATCAGCAGTTCTAGTCGATACTTTGTTATTATTCGCACTGTTTTGCAGATGAATCTACGGTAATGGCAACAAACAAAAGTTATATTTCATTTTCTTCACATTACAAGTTACCATGAAAACACCTTTAATTTTACTTTTAAACCCTGATAACTCTGAAACGATTCCGGTGATGCCTATATTTTATTATAAAATTGCAAGAGATTGTTGCCCTCTTGTGAATTGTGTTCAGCATGTTAAGACGTAACTTTTGTTAATTTTTGATGTTTGAAAAAAAAAAAAATGCCTGAGCAGATTCAGGCCCCCAACAAATTTCAAAAATTTAAGGTGGATCTGATCTCTCCATCATAGACTGTTTACAATTTTGTAAAAAGTTGCATTTTGTCACGCTTATCGCGCTTAGATACTAAAAGATTGGGAATTACCGAGCTCGTTTGAGTTAAAAGCACTAGAGGGTAAAACTGAGAAGCTCTAACAAGTTGTATCGTTGCTATGGTAAACTGTTATGTAAAAACGGATGCCCACAAGTTGTTTACCAATGATCTGGCAGTTATGTGATACCATTATTGTAAGATTGATAGTATTGATCCATCAAATTGTAAGTGATAGAAAAATCTGGAAACTAATGTCAGCCACTTTTACATGGTAAGAAAAAAAAAAAAAAA